ACCTGTATTTTTATTGAGATGTATATCCCTGCCCCCAAATAAATATTCAGATTAAACCACAGAGTGAATTTAATGGAAGTTCTATTTGCTAAAAAAAGCAGAGTATATTTCTGCGAAGCAAAAAACGCTTAAGCTTCAAGGCCTCTTATTTGCAGGCACCCTTGTTTAGGCCCCATATAGAAATATGCATTTGTAGATATATTACTTTTATTCTTAAAAAGACACTCTCTGATTCGATACACTTTAAGATCCACAAATTCTGGATTTATCTCTGAAAAGAAGAGAAAATATAAATGATTTATTTGATCATATATTATTACCATTGTATCATTTTTAAAATGACATTCTGATTTCTTACCTTATAGTTCTGTTTTGAACACCCATGCCTGTTTTTACTTTTTCTCTCTCTTTTTTGGGGGGGGGTATTATAAAATTTCCATTAATTTCATGCTTTCATGTGTTTAAATAACAATGATAAAAAAATGTAGTTTGTATGCATCATTGTACTTTCAAAACCATTTAATAAAATTATGAGTCTAAAATAAAGTGGCAGATAATAGAAAATAAATGGGACTGATCCAGAGTTATTTTAAAATATTTAATCTATCCACTAACCATGTTATTTGTAATCTATGTAATTTCTGTGGGAAACACCAGGTTTCTGACTGAGAAAAGTTTTTGTGTAATTTTAATAGTAAATATAATGAAATAGGTGCATAATGCAGGTTTCTTTAGAATTCTTTTTCTGTATTCTTTGAATTAATATAGATTTTATTACACAAATGTTAATAATATTGGAAGGATACAGCCTACAATGCTTCAAGTATTTACATCAAATAAAGTGTATGTTATAAATAATATACTGGGAAATTTAGTAATTATTTAAACCCAATATTTCATGGTAATTGGAAGAATTTTTTTAAGATTTTATTTATTTACTTTTAGAGAGGGAAGGGGGTGTTGAGAGAGAGAGAGAAACATCAATGTGCAGTTGCTGGGGGTCATGGCCTGCAACCCAGGAATGTACCCTGACTGGGAATCGAACCTGCGACACTTTGGTTCACAGCCCGTGCTCAATCCACTAAGCTATGCCAGCCAGGGCTGGAAGAATTTTGAAAGGCATAAAAATATTGAAAAGTCTTAGTACTCCTACTAATTACCTTTATCACAATTTATCTTTTATAGAATATCCAGTTAATCCATTCAAATATATTCTCTTGAAGTCAGGGGCTAAATTTTGATTTCATATCTCAAGAACATAGTAACTTGAAATCAATAAGTTCTAACAAGTATTCTTTTTAGTTGAATCTGACATAATCAATGAATTTTCCAAGAACTTTGCTCTAAAACCTTGTAGCTTATATAGCTAGCTATATGAATGCTATAGTAGATGGTATAACTTAGAACTTTTATCTGTACAAGTTATTTACATATTTAAAAACAAATAACATATTCACTTAATTCAAAATTAAAAGGTAGAAAAGGAAATGTGAATATGTACATTGAAAAAAACACTCCTTCTCAGTCCTCTTTGAGACATTTTAGGCATAATACAAATAAAATACACACATTCTTTTTAGCATAGCATGTGAACTGTAGAGTCTTAATTGCTTCCACTTAACACTCCTATGGATTGACCTATATATGCAAGCAAACAAATAGAAGACCATATTCTCATTATATGCTATGGTTGCATTGCATTCTATTTCATAAGTATATAGTATAATGTATTAAAGTTGCATTTTGTTAATGGACATTTAGCTATTTTACAATTATTCTCACTAAGAATGCATTGCAATAAATAACCTTGTATATGGCACTGTTTCTACAAATGAGAACAAATTTATAAGCTATATTCCTATTTATGAAATGAGGGTCAAAAGTTATGTTTTTATATCTTGATAGATACTGCCAGGTTACTTTTCCCTGTGGGATGAATTAATTTACATTCACAATCAAAATACTTTTTTCATCCAGTCTTGCTGGTAGAATGTGCTATCAAACTTTCTAATCATTGTTAAAAAATCATAGTTTCAATTCGTATCTTTCCATTTTTTGAATTTAGACTATTTTCATAAATTTAAGGACGTTCAAATATCTTTTTAATTTATCATAACACTGTTTATCTTCTTTGTATTCAGTACAATGTGTACAATATGTAATTATTTAATTATCTGTGTCCTTGGTTATCATTTGTCTCTGCTATTATTGTATAAGCTCCATGAAGGTCAATGCTTGCCTTTCTTGTCCATCATTGACTCACCAGCTCCCAGTAAGGCTCTTTCCCTCATAAGCATTCGGTGACCACTTACTGTGCAAATGACTTAGTAATGTGAGTCCCTCTGAGATCTCCAATGTGCTGCCCAGAACTCTGTCTTTGATTCTGTGCCTTATTACCTCGGAATCTCCTAAAACAACTGGTTATCCTTTAGGATTTTTTGAAAGCTTGCTCAGCTATTGGAAATGAAATTGAGAAGCCCATTACTTAAATTAATACTTTGGAATAAGACTCACTTATGGCTTCCCCGAAATATCCAAATTGCCATCACAGGTTAGTTTTCCATAAGGGAGAGATTCTCTAATGAGAATTCCTGATTCGCTTATTTTTTTTCAGTACTATTGTAAAAAGGGAAATGAAGATGAATCTAGGAAATAAGGAAAGAATAAATGTGTTTGTTTATAGACCTCAATACCATGTGTTGGGAATATACACAAAATTTGCTACACTAAACTTTGTTATTGCATGAGATTGTAGAGTTTTCAGAAATGTAATTATTTAAAAAATTAGGTATCAATTAAAAATTGGGCTTCAATCATAAAATGGACAATGATTTAAAACTTTTTCTTTCCACAGGAAGTATCGTACCTTTCTTGCAGCAATTACAGGCCATAGCAATTGTTGAAATTTAAGGTAAATTTGTAGTGTAGTTGAATGATGTATAAAAATGGATAAGCATTACTGTATTTTTAAACAGAATTCAGCAAAGCCTATGGGTATTTTTCTTCTTTGAATATGAATGACTCTAGTGTAAAGACCAAGTGATTTTGTGAACTTCCTAGTCTTGCTAATCATATTAGATTAATAGAAGCCCAGAAAGAAGTTATTGTTTTCCTCTGCGGTGCATCAGCTTTACAAATCTTAATAAGATCCAAAACTTATGAAGTGACTGAGATGAGGGGCTTTAAAGGGTTTTATATCTAAGTCTGGCGGTATTCTGAGCAGGGCTTCGCCTCTGAGCCTCTGAGGGGTTGCCATGTAACTAATTTCCAGATTTCCAATGATGAAACTGGAGGAAGGAGGTTGGACATGTAGATAGCTGGGAGAGAAAGGTCTCTGATTGTGGGGGAAAAACAGAAGAGCCTTGCATCACGGCTCGAACAAAAAGAGCAGGCGTAGGTGATATACTCCAAGATACATGCTACTTTATAACCAATTCTTTGTTTCTTTTTTCTGCATTGCAGTTTTTGATGCAATCCTTAAAGCTTCAGTTCAATTTGTTTAACCAATAAATCTCAGGTACACTGCTGTGGGGAAGCCAGAGCGTGGGTGTATAGCCATGTCTTAGAGTGAAATTGACTAGACAGAACAGGATCAGCAAAGAGAGTCACTGATAAATGGATTGAAGAATCCCAGCTCTATGGTCAAAGTTGAGAGTGACAAGTGAAAGCCTAAATTATTAGTGCAGCCCAAATTATGGGGGCCTCATAAACAGCTGAGAGGGGGTTTGGACTTCCTTTATTCATGAGGATGAGACTTGGATTATAGTTAAATGGTAATAGATATCTCAGGAGCCAGGAGAGATTGGGGGACATTCCAATATGGGTTGAAGAAATTGCTTATGGATATCTGTTACAAATCATCAGTGTAGTTCAAGAGTGCTTCTTGTCTCCTATATTATTGCTTATATTATGCATTTTTCAAGAAATTATAGCTGTATTTCATATGCATTAGAACCTTTTTAAAATCTATTTATTTTATTTTATTTTTTTCATTATCATTTATCCCCCTTACACCTGTGTCCTCCCTTCTTTCCCTCCACAATCACCACACTGTTGTCCAGGTCTATGAATCCTTTTTCCTTCTTGCTCAAGCCCTCCACCCCTTTCCCCTGCCCCCAGAGCTGTCAGCCTGCTCTTTATCTATGAGTCTGTCCCATTTTCTTTGTTAGTTCAGTTTGTTCATTAGATTCCACATATGAGTGAAATCATATGATATTTGTCTTTCTCTGATTGGCTTATTTCACTTAGCATAATGTTTTCCAGGTCCATCCATACTGTTGCAAAGTGTAAAATTTTCTTTTTTTTTCTTTTTTTTTTTTTTGCTACTGAGTGGTATTCCATTGTATAAATGTCCCATAGTTGTTTTATCCACTCATCTACTTACAGACACTTGGGCTGCTCCCATATCTTGGCGATTGTAAATAAGGCTACAATAAACATAGGAGTATTTATTTATATTCTTTTGAATTAGTGTTTTAGGTTTCTTTGGAAAAATTCCCAGAAGTGGAATTCCTCGGTCATGAGGCAGTTCCATTTTTTAACTGTTTGAGGTATCCCTATACTGCTTTCCACAGTGCCTGCACCAATCTGCATCCCCATCAACAGTGCAAAAGGATTCCCCTTTCTCCACATCCTTGCCATTGTTGTTTGTTGATTTATTGATGATAGTCATTCTGACCGGTGTGATGTGATATCTCATTGTGCTTTTAATTTTCATTTCTCTGATGAGTAGTGATGTTGAGCATCTTTTCTATGTCTGTTGGCTATCGGTATCTGTCCTCTTTGGAGAAGTGTCTATTTAGGTCCTTTGCTCGTTTTTTTTAAACAGGATTGCTTATGCATTTTTGGTGTTAGATTTCATAAGTTCCTTATGAATTTTAGGTATTAACCCCTTATCAGATATCTTGGTGAATACGGTCTCTTATTTAGCAAGTTTTTTTTTTATTTTCTTAATGGTATTCTTTGCTGTGCAAAAACTTTTTAGTTTGATATAGTCCCATTTATTGATTTTTTCTTTTTCTCCTTAACCAGTTTATAAACTCCTTGGAAACATAAGGCTCAATTTTTACACACTATGCTTACATGTCATAATACCTACCATGTACTGAGCCAATATGATGGTATTCAACATATATTTATTAAATGGACACTTTACTGTACAGTGCTTTTTAAGACTATATGGCCCATAGTCTCAAGTGACTGTAACAAGATGAATGGGGACTTTTCACTTAAAATGCATTTGCTTTTTTCTTTCCATTACCATCTTCAAGTAACTTTGTCCCTCAGTAGAACCTGATTTTCAGGGGTTCTTGTAAAGAAAAACAAAATAACTGAACTAAATCCATCTCTTATGTCAAAATAAGATCAACAATTAATTTACATCTCAAATCTATGCTCGTGCTTAGGCATAAATTAGGAAGGCTTAAAACCATATGTCATGTGGTTGCCCTGCTACTTGTACAAACATGAAGTACTAACATGCTTTGAAGCTCTGAGCAGACCTGTGACCAGTTGCCACCCCTGAAAGAATTTTTTCCCCTCCTAAGAATCTTGTTCTCAAAGTTTTAGGAGCATAATTTCTATGACCAGTCTTACAGTTATATACATATAACTTATTCTTATGTCTGTGAAAGCCTGCAAATTATCAAGTGTCAGGAAGAGCAGTGAATAAATAACACACATCTCACCTCTTCTAGGGTACAGGAAGGATTGAGGAGAGAAAGAAGGAAGAGGATGCAATTGGTGGTTCAATTTCTGTACCCAATCCTCTCACTGATAGGAGTGCTGACTTTGATCAGAAATTCTGCCTACTCCAGCCCCTGAGTTAAGAGACCAAATCACCCCAAGGATGGATGTGTTGTTTGTTTTTCCAAACATTTCCCAGAACAATACCAAGAGTCCTTCCAATCAGGCTAAGCATTTTAGGTGGCTACGTCACATTTTTGAATAGTGAGTTCTAGGATTGGTAGCTGAGAAAAGGTCTTCTCCGCAAAAAATGAACAATGGAGGGGTTGGGGTGGAGATTAAGGCTTGGCTTTCCCTCTGCTGCTGCTGCTGCTGCTGCTGCTTATGCACAGCACGTTCCTAGAGACTGTGCAGCTGACGTGAAGCAGACTCTTAGTTTTTGTTCAGGTCTGGTTTTGATCTGCAGTGTTCAGGGATGAGCAATTCCTTTCACGTTATTTGCAAACCTTGTCAAAGCCTGATTGCAGCATGACATTGATGACAGACTGATTATTACTTGTCTCAAAAAGCAGTGTAAGAACATATTGGCTTTCATGCAAACATCCAGCTTGTCATTAGCGTACAGTGCAAATGGCAGCGGTTTTATACCGGAATCCTGGAAGCTGAGGCAACAGGAGGCATCTCTCTTTCTAGTCATCCTGGAAAGATTTCAATAACATTTTTTAGGGACAATTTTTGTTAAGTGGAATTCCTACAATACTAAAACAAATGGTCTAACTTTGAAATTTCATTGTTTATCTTGAGAGACATTTATTCCAGTAGTCTAGATAGAAAAAATAAAGGAGGGATATAAGATAATATTAAAATATATACAAATTTTTTCCCCATGAAAGCAAATCTGCTAAAGCTTAGAAGTGTGTTCAGTTGCAAAGTTCTGCTTACTTGGAAGCCCTAAGTACTAAGTTTTGATAATTTCTCAATAACTCGAGGCAGACCTACCTAAATGAGTAAATTAGTGACTTGTGATATGAATGAGACCTTGCAGTAGGTATATTTATTCTTTTCAAACCACAGGAACTCAATTGCATTAAGCAGCATATACATTCTGAAACCCTTTCTGTGAATAACAAGCTCTATGATTTCGATTTTATTTAAGAGTCATCAAGCACGTCTAAACATCTATTTGATACTTAGAAAAAGTTACTTGCTGGAAACGAGTGGTTTCTACAATTAGTATATGACATTGTCTCCCCACATGTGTGCCTTTTGCTATTTCTTTCTTTTTGTTTTGGTGAAAAAGTAGGGGGTAATCTCCTTATCCTAAGCTACTCATTCACACAAGGGACAACCACCTCAGTTTCTTAAAAAATAAGTATTAACTCTACAAGGATATAACTTGTTTTAAGTTCATTTTAACTTTTAATTGAATAAATAATATATAAATATAGATACATTTAAACTAAATGTGTAAATGTATATATATTTACTATTACAAATATATACATATTAGTATATACATATCACATCAAATTTGTAAATGGATATTTAATGAAGATCTTTCTTCTCAATACCTGTCCTAAGAGGCAATCACTTACATGCATATATAGGTTTATTGTCCCCCAATTTTTACATAAACAGAAGTGTGACCCAATATAGTAAGGTTATAACTTTTTTTTGTGTCTTAATAATATTGGGAAGCTGTGGAGACTGGACCTCTCAGGCAGTACTGAATTTATACCACACTTGTGGTGGTGAAAGTTCAGAGATGACTGGAATTCACACTTGACTTGTGTAACTCCGATATATTTTCTCCTGAATGTGCTTGAACTGATCTATGCTAGCTCGCAAATTGCTGAGAGGTAGAGGTAGTTATTTCAAGAATAAGAAACACTAAAACTCTGACATATTTATATAGTGAAATATTTAGCAACAATGAATAATAACAATTGCTTATAGGAAATACATAATGTAGAAGAGAAAAAAGTAGGAAAATCAGCAGGAAGACAGAAATTTTAAAATTCAAATTTTTCATTTACATAGTAGGTAGCAAATAAATATTTTGTAATATTGATAAGTCAACAAAAAGATATAAATACTAAAAAAGATGAAAACCAACTGATTAAGTAGAAATTTTAAAGTAATGTATATATATTTTTTCATAATGTACATTTTAAATTATAAAACTTATTTCATATTTGAGATTACAAAATATGAATTAAAAGCTATAAGACTCCCATTCTGCTAATGTTGATGCATATACAACAGAACAGCCATTAGAAATATAGCAGAAGCTGATACCTGTCCTAGTACCTGACTTCACATTGGCCTCTGCTGAAATGCTTCTCACCTACCAGCCTTAATAAAGACCGCTCCCTGGAATCTTACACAAACAAGCATATGCATTAGTCAGTGCGTGAGATTCAGTGGAGAGAACTTGGCAGAGAGACAAAAAGGAGTCTCCAAACTTCTTTGGAAAGTGTTTTGCCACTTATCTTAAAGCTATAACTCTGCCAACTGGAGTCAGTGGGCTATTATAAATTTATATATGCATTTAATCTGCCTGGAGGATTTTTTTACTTATATGGTACATCAACATTTCAAAACAAACTTTTAAGATACAGAATCTTCCAAGAGGAAGGCTCTTTATATGTGAGAGGCAGCTTTCCTTCTGAGGGACAGCAATGACGCGTTTGTTTGAGTACAAAACTGACAGTTGAGAAAGTCTGAAATATAATTCTGGCTTTTCTACTTCCTTAGGTTGGCCATACAGAATAAACACGAACCTGTTAGGCAAGCAGAATTTTGGAGGAAGTGAATACACATTTTAAAGAATAGTTTGAAACTGAACTGTCAGATGGGTTAGCAAAGTACCTTGACCACCATTTGAGTGACCTTGCTGATTAGATCTGGATGGAAACCACTGGCAAAATTAGTGCAGACTTCCTGAGGCTTTGCAAAATGAAAGGAGAATGAGATAAGAGGATTCTGTAGAAAAATTTCATAGCTCTGTGAAATTATTTTGCCTTTATAATCTGAAAAGAAGTTTAAAATATTGTAAATGAGTATTTTAAAAATAATAAATTAATAAAAATTAATGAAATGATCTTACAGTCTGAAGGAAAAGTTCTTATAGAAGTGTATTTTGTTGTGTTCTGTGAGAGGAATCTTAGCCTTTGATAAACTTTTTATGTAGATACCCACCGCTTTCAAGTAGTTTTCATGATCCCTAATTGCTGGTTGAGATACGCCCTGCAAATAGTGTGACTAGTTATTCATAAGAAATATTTTTGGTCTTCGTTGTTTAAAAAACTTGCTATGAGGGAACCAGATTCACCATAGAGTCTGGGAAGAGTTACCTCAAACTGTATCTGATAGAAATGAAAATAAAACAAAGGAACCCAGACTCTCAACAGGAAGCAACTGGAAGATTATGGGATTAAATGGAGGAGAAGGTAAGTGGGTAGAGGTGTCAGTAGAAGGATTCTAATATTAAGGAGAACTTCTCTGTCAAATGGGTCACATAAATACTGATATAGGAATTGGTAGGACTACGAAATGAATTAATCAGTTTATTAGGTTATTTGTCTCGAGACTTAAGGCTCTTCAAAATGGAAGCCTAGTTTCTTAAAGAATGAATCTCAAAACCAGTCTTTAGCCAAATCTTTGAAGTAGGCCAGGATATTGAACCAGAAAATGAAAATAATTGACATAATCACATATGATTTTAGTAGCTCTAGGTCCATAATTTTCAAAAAGTTTAGCTGTGACCATTTCATAAATCCTACAGTGAATCATCGTAGCTTGATTGAGGAGATCAGGAATCTTCATAATTTGTAAGAAAAAGAAGGTTAATTATGAAGATTAAGCACATTGTAGGTCCACTCACATAGGAATTAGAACTAGCTCTTTGTTATGACCCTTCACTGCATTTGTTGCAAGAAGATTCAATAGAGCAGAATTCCAGGTTTGTTATGTCTATCTGTGGTATATTTTATGACCTTAAATTCATTGAGCTATGTTAGGATATGTTTGGATATTTTTAAAACTAATCCATATAGTAGGATTACTCCTAGGCCGAGATTTTCAATTTCTATCTTTTTGATGACTTCTAATCTCTGGAATCTAACTATTGACCCTCACACCATACATGCAAGCGTTTGCATCTGAACTTAAATATCTCAGAAGAGTGATTTAGACTCATGATGTCCAAACTGAGCTCACATTTTAGTCAAATTGTTTTACTCCCCGTCTTAGGGACGGGGACGACCATCTACCCAACTACATGAAGAATCTCCTTCTCTCCTGTACCACACAGTGCTCCTAAACCTAGATTTCCTTCCGGAACTTAGGTGGGAAAATTCATACTTTGTTACAATGATTTAATGGAAAATTAAGGTTAAACATTTCATTTACTTTAAAGCATTATGAAAAACTCTTATTATAGGTGCACACACACACACACACACACACATATATATATATAACACACACAGAGAGTATCTTTTGTGGAAGGAAAGTAATCAGAATTCTGTTAGAATTGAATGAGATGTTGATGTTTGAATAGTAATAAAGAAATCAAGACCAGAGGGGAGAGAAGAGGGAATTTCAAGGGAGAATGGGAAGGGTTTACAGGAACAAACTTAAAGGACATATGGACAAAAACTAGGGGGAGGGTGGTAATGGGAGAAAAGTGGGGAGGGTTGGGTGGGTGGGCTGGATTGGGAGTAAAAGGGAGAAAACTGTACTTGAACAATGATTAAAACAAAAAAAAACAAGAAATCAAGAACAAGTTAAAAATGTAGGTAGATTAAACATCTGATAGAATAAGTGGGGTATTGGAATATGTGTGACAGGTTGAGGCTTTGAGGGAAGAAAAACAGGAGAAAGAAAATATTTACTAGATTTGCCATAGATTCTAAGTGAAATAAAATATTACATCTAAGCAGGAGATCTGGAGATCTGGACTAGTATATATAAAGCAAGAAAAAAAGATTTACAAGCAGAAGAACAAGTCTCTGTCCACCCACTCCACCTTCCACTTCTGTTCACTTTTTTCACTGTCATGTTTCAAGCCCTCTCGTCCAGCTAGTCTTCCCACAGTATTAAGTTTCATGGGTGTGCCCTCAGGCACAGTTATTTTGGAATGCCAACAGTCTTTGAAGATTCCTTTCTAACTGCTTCATCTTATAACATTTCAACAGGTGTGTATTTTCCAACACATTAGATTGAAAAATTTGTCAGGTGAGTAACATGAAAGTGAGAATGATTTCTTTGCATCAAGATCCTGGAACTAAGAGTGTAATGATTTGCTCAGCTTTGGCAAGAATATCACAGAAAGGAAGTTGTGTTCTTCTTAGCATATTATATCAGGTGGTGTTTTGTCCTATAATGAAGCCATTAACTTTGATTCTTTGAGTAAGGTAGCATTGCTAGGTTTCTCAATAATGAAGTTACCATTTCCTCCTTAGTAATTAAGAAGTAATTTGTAGTGAGATTCTATGAGACTGAGTGTCCTCTTTTTCATCAAATTTTCACTCACTATTTTAGCATCCATTGATTATTAAAGATTGGATACTAGTTTCATCATTATACATTTATTATTTGGTATCATTTTTGTAACAAAGAACAGCCTGCCATCTCTCCTTTTTTTCATTCCATTCTCCCTCCCTCCCTTCCTTCTTTCCTTCTTCTTCCCTTCCTGCCTTCTCTCTCTCTCCCTCTCTCTCTGTCTCTTTCTCTGTCTGTATGAACCCAGTGATTCTCATTTTGTTAAATGAGTTAATTGTCCTTATGTATCTTAAAATTTTAAACTCAAAGTGGCCAGATTTGGCCAATGAGAGAGAGCCTCTTTAAGTCTTGTTTCCTCCTAATATGTTAGATGATTTTTGAGTACTGTCTTATTTCCTGAGCACAAAGGTGTCCTAGAAAACTTTCTCTTTTGCTCTAGTGTCCTAGAATCCAGCCTGTACTTGCCATTTAGAATGAAAGGGATTTGGGTTCTGTCAGGTCTTCCCTATTGGTTTCCTTCTGACTTGATGATGTGTCCCAGCCAAGAGAATTGGTCAGGCCCTATGTTCTTATTGATATGAAATCATTTCCTCTCAATGTAGCAGATTCATTAAAGAATCCAGAAGCTTTTTTTTAAACATATCTTTTTTTTAAAGATTATTTATTTATTTATTTTTAAAGAGGGAAGGGAGAGAGAAAGAGAGAGAGAGAGAGAGAGAGAGAAACATCAATGTGCGGTTGCTGGGGGCCATGGCCTGCAACCCAGGTATGTGGCCTGACTGGGAATTGAACCTGCGACACTTTGGGTCGCAGCCCACACTCAATCCACTGAGCTATGCCAGCCACAGCAGAATCCAGAAGCTTTTGACAGAGCCTTTAGCTTCGTTAGAAGATGCAGACTTTAGTACTTCATGTTTTCTCAGTCTTATCATGGGTGTCAATGGTGAAGGCAGTCAGAAATCTTTCTCACAATGGCCTTCCTTACTGGAAGCCAACTAATCAATTCATGGCTACCCAGTGGGTTATTTTACTCAAGTTACCATTTACTTAAAAGGAAAAAAAATATTACTTTCTTTATTGTTTTGCATCTTAGCAAGGTCTGGATCCATCTCGGATGGTTCAGCTGAAAAATTTTTAAGAAAAGAGTATCACATAGTGTTGTGAGCAGGCATAAGTGAACAGACAAGTTAGTGAGGGACCCAAGTACAATCAATGTTAGGAGCCATGGCCACTGCAAGTGCTCAATGGACTAAGAAAGGACTCAGATTTATGTGGACCACTATAGTGAGGACCATGGGGAGAGGCTCTCAGAATAAAACACTGCCATGCATGTGGCGCCAAAGCAAGATATGAATATTGAAAACATCAATGAGAGAAACATAGATAGGTTACCTCCTGTACACACGCTGTCCCAGGATTGACCCTGCAACCTAGGCGTGTACCCTGACTGGCAATTGAACCCTCAGCCTTTTGGTGTACGGGACAACACTCCAACCAAATGACCAACTGGCCAGGGCTCAATGCATATTTTTAACTCCTCCCACCCACTGAGCCTGGTGATGATGTCATTGGTCAAACTTAACTGAAGGTCAGCCTGCAGTAGAGCCAAGTATATATAATAATAATCCATATAAACACTGTATTTATCAGTCAGGGTTCTCCAAACAAGCAGAACCAATACAATCCCTCCCTCTCTCTCTCTTTCCAGAAAATCTGTGTTATAATTCAGTCTGAGTCCAAAGACATGAGGTTGGAATGGGGTGAGAGGCCTGATGATATAACTCCATTCCTGAGTCCAAAAAACCAGGAGCTCAAATGTCCAGGGCAGGAGGTGACGGATGTCTCAGCTCAGGCAGAGAGAACAAATTTACCCTTCTTCCAATCTTTTGTCTATTTGGGCCCTCGGCATATTAGATGGTGTCCACCTGCATTGGAGAGAGCCACCTGTCTGCTTCACTCAGTCTAATGATTCAAGTGCAAATCTCTTCCTGACACACCCTAGTAAACACGCCCAGAAATAATGTTGCGCCATGCCCTGAGCATCCCTTAGTCCAGTTGAGCTGGCACATGAAATCGACCATGACAAGCACAGACAAGCCACAGAAGGGAGAGAAATAGGTTCTGCGGGCAAAGGAAGAAGATCCAGTGCATGTTCGCAGACATAGTCCTCCTCACCCTCACTGGGGAGCTTGGTGCAATTTATTCTTTACCAAGATTGTAGATGCTGAGTTCCCTAACTTAATGTCTCGAAATGCACTTTTAATTCGGTTCAAATGATTCTGCCATACACAAGTGGTATCATATTTACTTTATTAGAAGGAGCTTGTGCTTCTCTCCTGCTCTCGAAAAATCCAATTTGTTGTTCCACTGAGAGAAAGTATGTCAGGTGCATATGTGGATAAGGCGGTCGTAAATAAGTCTCCATTCTGCTCACACAATCTAACCCTGTTAGAAGCTATCACTTAGGGTATTTTCAGGGGGAACTGAAGTTGATTATGAGAGAACAAAGAAGCAAAAGTCATGCTATATAATAAAAATGGAAATTAGTTGAAACTCTCAGCTCCATTTGCTGAGCCAATGAACATAAAGTTCATGTTCTGCACATCTGTTTGTGGAGACGAATCTATAGTTATATTCGGGTAAACTAAAATAAACCTCAAATAGGTTTACAGGGTCATCCTCAACACTGAAAACATATATCTTGGTCTCTCTGTGGGCAGATTTAGGACATCCTACTTGGGGCTTTGGTGAGGGTTGTGATTTCCTCATTTTTACAAGAACTATAAAATTACAGTATTTTCCCATTATATTTTCCCTTTTAAGCTTGGCAAGCAAGCTGTACTGATCTGGTGCCAATATGATACTTAAGGCCAAATGTCTGCATTTTAGAAAATTTAATTATAAAGAAATGGAGAAATTATAAAAAGCCTGCTACCAATAGAAATATTTTCATTAAACATATTTTCATCCAATTATGAACCCAAGCAGCTCTCTCTTTTTTTTTTCCTTTTCTATTCGGGAACCATTTTGCTGCTGTGTTTACAGCCTGGTACTGCATCGCCGTGCTAGCAAGGGAGACAAGGAAGCAGACGTGACCAGACACAAAGGTGATAAAGGCTTGTCTCATTTCAATGTTCAACCAGAGTGGAATGCAAACAGCAAGCAGTGCATGACAAAAAGTAAATTAGATCTTTAAAATCCTTCCTTTAATAATCTTAGATGGTATTGGCAGCTCAGGTAAAGCTTTCCCATGAATACGGGATTTTTAGTTCTGCAAAATCCCCTTAAAAGCTAGATAAGAGGTAATATACTTTTGTCCCTTCCATATAAATGATGTTTCTTTTTTTTTCCACACTAGCTTTTAAACACACCGACAGATACACACTTACATCTTCTCTGTTGGTTTCTCATTATTATGTCATTTAATTATATGCTCTCCTAGTAAATGTTTTTGAATACCCATTATGATGGGACACTGACCTGGATATTGGAAGCTCAAAGGTCAACAAGATACAAAATGTGTCCTTTGGGAGGTCACAAGTTGTCTGGGGGAGCCATGCACAGAAAAACAAAGATCCAGTGCAACTTGGCAAAATGCTCTGATGCTGGTGTGAATACAGTACTTGGAGCAGCAGCACGGGAGCAAGGAGTTCTGACCTGGGAATTAGAGAGTGTGTCCAAAAAACACATGTAGAGCTAGATCGTGAAATATCAAAAGGAAGGGATTTGTCAGATGCAGTAAACAGAAATGGATTCCTCGGCAGAGGGAACAAAACATTCACATGTATGGAGACCTATGATGAGGAGGTCTACTGAAATTTGTATCCATTTTGTCAATTTCAAAATGACATAATACTTTCAAGAAGAGTAGGCCTACCTCTTTATACTCTCATGAGTTCAGGTCAGTAGAGCTTTCAGATGAGCATTGAAATATACATTAAGGTTGACCCATGTTTGCATTTTGATCCAGGCTTGGGCCACCTGGTTGCTAAGGGCTTTTGTGTTCTAGTATCTGAAATAGTGGGACTAATACTCCATAGAGGACACATTTAATGTTGATAAAAAAACACAACTTGTAGAAGTTCCTGGGAACCTGAGAAACCCTTGCAAAGTGACTAATTTATGAATGAAGTTGATTAGCACAGCTTGTGGAGTCAAATAACCTTGGGTCTAATTATCTGAGTGAGCCTGAGCAATTTAACTAACTCCTCTGAATGTCCATGTTTTTATCTGTAAAATGACCACAATGGGGCTCAGCAGCACTGCTGGGAAGATTATAAATACTAAACTGAAGGTATGCCCAGTGGCTGGCCCACAGCATCTGCTCAGTAAATGAGTGACTGGGAAAATGATGCAGAGAAAACATTCTACTTATCCTAAAACACGATGTAGGAAATGAGGGAAATACTGTATTTATATGAGAAATTATGCATTCTACTTTTTCAGGAACCCATGCCATCGTATCTCCTTTCTAAAATAATATTTTGTACACCCTGCAACTTCTGAGATGGCATTTGCACTTGCCCACTTTTCTCTGACGTTTTTGGGGAAGATGGTGGCGAGCAATATAATAAGTACCAAGTGGGAGGTAGAGAGAAACAGGAAAAAGATGGCCAGGGCATTCTTGTTTTTGCCATTCTAGAACCTTCTTCCCCCATCCTTACCTTCAACAGAACAGGTTTCTGACATGAGAACATAGTGATTATGGTGTAATAGATTCCTAAAACACGCATCTGAGACAGATTAAAGTCGGCGTGAGGCTCTCCGCTCCTGTTTTCTTCTTGGAGCAGGTTTCTTTGTCTCCTGCAACCACACTCAAGCTGAGCATGTCATCAGCAGCACAGGAAGATTTGTGATCTGAATCTTGGGCTTGAAGTTGTTTACTGTTGAGCGTATTCAGGCATCGTTGCATTTTCTTCTCTCTTTAACATTTTACTGGCAGTCGGATGGCTTAAAGGATCTCTGTCCAAATGGAAGCTTTTTCTGCTTTGTTCTCCCCTCCCTCTGCCTCAGACACATGGCCACCTGGCATATGCTGTGTGCTCTCTGTTCAGAGACTGCCGGCACGCAGACAAAGCCTGGGTGGACACGCACCACCAGGGCAGCCGCGGTGGCTGTGAATTCAGTCAAACCACTGGCTGGTCGGTCAAACACTCAGATCAAACGTTTTCTTTGACTGAATTAACCACACGAGCAGTAGATCCTGTCATGGATGGACACAAAAAAGAACAGTAGCAATTCACAAGTTCCTTTTCAATGACCCACTTTACTGAAAGACAATTCCCTGAAAACTTTGATATTTAAAAAATTCAAAGTAAATCCTTATTCACAAATGCATTTTAATTACTTTAGAATTTGCCAAGAGAGGAAGAAAAGCCAAAATCTTTGGTTTAAAAGATAATCCCCATATCTTCCTAAAATTACAAGGATTTTTGAAAGCTTTGTAATAGCTATTCTAGATATATCAGGCATATTCCAGGAGGTAATTATAATAAAAAACAATTTGGAAAGGAAAGAGAATAAACTTGCAAAAAGTAGCTGGTAGGATTTTTTAAAGTGGTAGCTACACGTCTTTGTGCCATTTTGTTCTTTTTCCCAGGTGATACTTTGTACAGCACAGCTTGCTTTTCATAAAGAGAAACAAAGAGGGCATAAATGATTCAGTGTCTTAATTCCCTTGGTTTTCTAAATTTACATTATTGAGAGATAAATACAGTATTTTTTGAGTTTTAGATGGAGGCACAATTGTTATTTTTGCTAAGGATAATTTGCAGCAAACACGGTAGGTCTCACTAAGTTTAGCACCAGTATTTGTATTTGCTGTTACTACAAGGCAGTGCTTCCCCCAAGCTGGTGCATTTTCTTCTTCTTCATGTACAGTAAGATTAAATAGCAAAGGCCAGCACACTATATAAGAATATTGAAGCTGAGTGCTATAGTGCCAGTCTTTGAAAGGCACTGTGTATGGATTTGATTCATGTCCAGCATCCATAAGATAACAACAGACAGGCAAGTCAATGTAGCCATGCCCTCGTCATGACCCAAAGGATCCAAATTTCAAAGAACCAAATGCCATAGATGGCAGAGCTATAGACAAGAGTCACATTCACTATCCCACTGTGGTCATATCAATTCAGTTTTGCTGATTATCCTCTGTTGAGTGGCAGAGTTTCAAATAAGGGCCCTACCTTCAGTAACCTTGTTTGGCTTATGCAAAGAAAGCAAAATACTAGTACAAGATGATGGATAAAAGATGCCATATCAATGGGTTCTTTGACTCATCTCTCTCTACCCTGTCTTTTCCCTTTCCCTTACTTGCATTTCCCCTAGCCAGAAACCAAATTATGTAGATTGTCTCTTCTAGAATTTTATATATTCTGAATTGCAGTGATCCAAGTTTAGGTTGTCAAAAACCCTTTTTCCACACTATATCGACATCCTATTATTTCATTTCTTAGACTTCAGTTTGCCAGAATATCTATGTGCATGTCTACATCTTACCTTATCTGTATCTACAGTTTATGACTTGAAGCTGTATCATTTATTTATCCTTTAACGTATTTATATTTTTTAGAGAAAACATTGTATACGCACCTTCATAACACCTTTCTCAAACCAGCTTTCCTACTTAGTATATTATAACTCCCTTTTCTAAAAGAATATATGTATTTATATGTATATAAAGACAACAACCCTTCAATGTATCCATATTCTATTTCCTTAGAAAAAACATAAATTTATAGTTTTTAGCCAGATATTCATGACTAAAAGATTCTAACAATCTTGTTTTGCAAGCTGACTTTTTTACCTTATTCATGATAGTTCTTTATCTTGCACTCATTCTCTATTCAGATCAGCTCCTCATATAGAGGAAATACTTTTTCATCTTCCTGTTAATGATCATGCAATTTCACAAGGTGTTTCCCCCCTTTTATTTCATGGTTGTAAATTTATGCATTTGTTTTATGTTTGTCTCAAGTGTAACTTATACCTGGAAGATTTTCCTCATTTTCTCATCTCACCTCAGCTCTCAACTATTATAGTTACAGCATTTCCCATATGGTGGTTTGGGTTTATTTTATACTTGTATTTTTATTCAATATTTATTGAGAATTTATTATGTGTCCAGTGTTGCAGTAGGAGGTCAAAAAATGATCTTGTTCCTACCTTTGAGATGTTTACCATCTAGTGGTGAGACAGACATGAGAACAAATATGATATATTGAAAAAGCTCTGGAAATATAGAGCAACAGATGAGATTATATGAATAAATGGACATTATTATATAGGGCATGATGAAATCGACCACAGAAGGAAAAATGTTTGGACTGTGGATGAAGGATGAGCAAAAATTCACATGAACCAGGTAGCGTATACAGTGGGGTGCAACAGGGCATTCCAGACAATGAACACATGCAAAGGCATGTGTCTAATCACATATTTGAGGACAACTAAGTAATTCAGAATGGCTGGAATTTACATTGCACAGAGGGAAGTGGCAAGATGTAAGATGAGGGAAGCAGTGAGATAGCATAAACCTGAGTTTGGGGCTTAGCTTGTAGGTAAATAAGGAATACAATAAGATGCACATATTAGAAATGCCATTTTCAAAAAGTTATGGGATGAGGGGAAGAAATCATATGATTTTTAGGGGCAATAATTTAGATGAGTTTTTGGTCTAGAACAAGGTATCAGGGATAGAAAGGTAAAGACAGAAGGAGTTAGAAAAGGTTTTCATGTATCTGTCTTGGGAGGTACCATTACTAAAACAAGAGGTACATAAGAAGGCCAGGCTTAGTCTAAGTAGAATTAATAGAGCTACAGATTGGGTAAGTTTAGTTTTTACAACTTATCCAGAAGTTTCTTTAGAATTATTACCTCTACTATTAGGCTATTACACCCTTCATGGCAGAGTTTTAACTATTCTTTCAATATATTTCTACTGCACATAATCCACAGTCTTGCATGCAGCAGTTGAATTAGGAGTGGGTAGACCTGAAAGAAGTTTACGTAGGTCTCAGAAACTGTTCCAGTCTGGCTGCTTAAGGCTACAGTAGACTACCTCCACAACTTCAGAGGCAAAGAAAGTTCAAGAATTTATTCCCTCTGTCATAGGGGTTTTGAAGGAACTCAGTGATTAGCATGAAGATGTTCTACATAAGCTGTGTTCTCTTTCAAACAATGTGGAATCCCCTTTTGCTGATTCATGTTTTCTGGGAAGTGAAAATGGTTAGTGATCAGTGTATGACTTTGCTAAGTTAGCTCATCAGTTTCTGGATTCAAGATCCCAGAAAATACTGAATGGTTTTAAATGATAAAAAATATTGACATACCAATATCTCAAAGGCTATATCACTTCTGGAAACACCAACCTACCTAAGTTTAAATACAAAAATCTGTGAAATATACACACAAATTTCCCAGATAAATTTTGTTTGAGCAACAAACCAGGACCATTTCCTATTGAGGTGGAAAATAAGGAGGCATTAGGGGTACATCCAGGGCCACATATTTTTCAATTTGTATCCATTTGGGATACATGACATGTTTTATTTATGAATGTAACTTAATATTTACTATTTTTTTTTAGCTCAGCTCAACTTTTCTGTAATTGCTTCTGGCCTGCTTTGGAAAATGATTAATTTTGTTTCTTATAACAACTCCTGTACAGTTTTAATAGCATTGTAAAATATCATTTTAATTTCAGCTATTTCTCAAGAATATAAACAACAGTTTTTTAATTGGTGGGATTTCAGTTTCCCAAGAACAACTAACCAATTTATAATTTTTAAAGCATTGTTTTCTACAAGACTACCTATCCCAATAAAGATACTTTCTATTTCATTTTTCTGATACGTCTCAAAGCTGGGAGCAAGAAAAAGGCATATAATTGGACAAGTTGGGGAACAATATTTTTTTTAGTTTTGTAATACTGAGAGAGGGACAAATAATTTGCCAAATCATTATTGCAGTATTACATTTTTCTGGAATTGTTTGTAATAATTTTATACAACATTATTCTACTTTGCATATACTACAATTTTACACATTGTAATTTAATCCAATAAAAATAATAGAGAAGACAAATATAAAAAGGATATTTAGATACATTTTACATATCATTAACATGCCATGTGCAAACACAAATAAATTCTATAATGGAAAGTTAGTCAACAAGCAAGAGTAAGAAATTCAAAACAGGGACTTCCGGCAAGATGAAGGAATAGGTGGACGCACCGTACCTCCTCGCACAACCAAGATTAGAACAACAATAAAATACAGTCAGCATAACACCCAGAACCGACAGGGGATTCATCTGAATGGAAGTCGGACAGCCAAGAAGTTGAAGTAGACCCGTACATCCAGACTGGTAGGAGACAACGAGCCGAGCAGGTGCGGGGCTGGCGCGGGTCGGCAGCGCACGGAGATCGGGGGAAATTTGGCGCGGAATCGGCGCGACAGCCATCGGGGCGCAGGAACGCAGCGGTGGACCCTGAGTACGCAAGCTGCGGCTGCTGGACCCAGTGGGGCAGCGATTGTGGACCAGGGCAGAGCTCGCAGCCCAGGAGCCCCGGGAAAGGTCTGGGCCCAGGAGAATTGAACTGCCGCCATTGATTACCCCCCGCCCCCGCCCCCGCCCCCACATATAATGTCACAATCTAGCGACTGGGGCGCCCAGCCCCGGTGAACACCTAAGGCTCCGCCCCCCACCTTAACAAGAGCGACCAGTCGGGACGGGGGGGGGGGGGGGCAGGAGAGACAGGGAAAGACATAAGACATGAGTGCAACAGAGCAGATCAGTCCCCCCAGGACTCATCCTTTTGAGCGACCAAGAAATAGCCAATCTATCAGATGCACAGTTCAAAACGCTGGTGATTAGAAAGCTCACGGAATTGGTTGATTTTGGGCGCAATTTAGATGAAAGGATGCAGGTTACCATAAAAGAGATGCAGGAAGATACGCGGAGGAGAGCCAATAAAGAAAGGAAGGAATCTGAGTCTCAAAACAATACAGTGGACCAGAAGGAAGATAGAATCAACCAAGCAGGAAAGCATGATGAAATAAGAATTAAAAAAATCGAGGAGAGCTTTGGGAACATCCAGGACACCTTTAAACGTTCCAACATTCGAATTATAGGGGTACCAGAAGGGGAGGAGCAACAAGTGGAAAAGTTATTTGAACAAATAATAAAGGAGAACTTCC